CAGTGCAGCACAGTTCATGAAGGCTTTAACTCTTATGGTGTGTAGCGTATGTGGCAGGCTGACGTCACAAAGGCTGGTACAGTGCACAAATGTAAATTCCTGGTTTTCTTCAATCTTTGTGTTCGAGATGTCAACTTTCTTCAGCAATTTACGATTGTCACAGGCATGCGCTCCCAGCACTTGGAAGTCCCGCGTAAGCTCCAGTGTAACTCCCAGAAGAGCTGAGACATCCTTGTGACAGCTCCCTGGCCTCCATCCGAGCTTGCGGCTCTTGTTGATGATTAGTCTCTTGCAGGACAAAGGTGGCTAAGTTGATGCAATCTCGAAAAAGATAGTGCCCAAATTTGGTTGAGCTACAGAACTGGTTCGCTTCTCCTTCGCTGGCATGGACCCACTGCAGGGAGCTGCATTCGGCGAAGGCCTTATAGCCAAAATCAACACAGCCAGGCGCTGTGACACTATTAAGCAAGTGGCAACTCCGAAAGGTATTGTCTGCAATTCTTACTACCGAAGCGGGCATCCTAACTTTCGTAGCTGCCGGCAACACTGCCATGCCTCTGCTCCCACAACTCTGATGCCTGCTTCTATACTGACGTGAACGCGGCACCGCTGTGAAAGCGCCACCAGGAACCATTTCTTCCGGATTCATGGGGACATGGATTGCGAGTGGGATGTCTCGGAATAGACACCCTTCAAAAATCTCCTTCGAGTGAAGGACTTCGCAGCAGCTACGAAACACTATGGTATACTCTGTGCTCTGTTGCAATTTTTCCCAAATTGGATTTTCTAAATAGGTTTTGCGTATCGGCTTGCAAGAAATCTATTGTGCGTCCGAAGACCTTCAGGTCGGTCACTGAGGCGAGGTAGTCGACCACATGGTCTTCAAGATCTTCAAATCTGTCAAATTTGGCGACACTCATGGTGATGTTCACAACAGTACCGGATAGAGCGGTAAGTACCAGATGACACTCCATAACAGGTTCGCGCTCTCGTTGTGCCTCTCGGCACACACAGCGCCTCCACCCGTGCAAAAAAAGAAATCAAAAGCGAAGAGGCCCAGCTGCGCCCCTGGAGCCAGATCATTGGTGGCATCAGTGTCATTGCCAATGCCCACTCTGCTGAGCGAACAGCACTCGGCGAAAACTCTTCGGCTGAATTCTGTGAAAGTGGTGGCCTTAGCCATTGTTTTCCGCTGCTAAAAGTGATGTCTGAGTGTGTGTGCGCAACTATTAAGCTCAAACAGACAATGCAGCCATGCTGAGCCAGCTGCAACCAGGGCTAACGCCGCACGTCTCGGATATTGAGGTATTTGGCTGCGAAATTGACCTCATCGAGCCGGATACTCAATTACCGCTGCCAGAGAACTTTCATACCGGCAGTGAAACAGGCTGCAGATGATCATACGACCTTGTATGGAGGAAGGCCACTCTGTTTGGGCAATTCCAAGATGGCGACAGGGAGAGATATCCCAAAGCAGTTCGAGGTAGCAGAGAGACTTTTATGCAGCATCTTTTTTTTTTTGCACGGGTGGAGGCGCTGTGTGTGCCGAGAGGCACAAGTCACCTTGATTGAATTAAATAGGGATACTGAGGAGATACGAGCCAGGCACTAGAACCAAGCACAAAACAAGAGCCTTTTATGCAGCATCGATGCTCCGACATGTAGAAGTGGCGGTAGGAATGAAGCATATTGGTTTTGCTGCTTGGCAAAGCTGCCAACAGCTGCAGATAGTGAAACTACCACTTTCTGTCATCAGCCTTGAGGATGGTGCATTCCAAGGCTGCTGTGTACTGCATTTTTGAAATTTGAACTTGAGGATGCTTTTGCGTGGCCAGTGCAGCATTTCGTATGACCTGCAGGCATGATTTCGTGGCAGGCACAGCATTTCTGAAACGCATTTCAAAATGCGCGAAAGCCTCGCACTGGCCCTCATGAGTTGTTGCTGAAGAACATCCGGCAACTGAAGCATGGAACGGCCTGAGACTGAGAGTTGAGGAAAAGAGAAGTCACAGGTTCGACCATGAGAGTTTGGTTTTTTGAAAGTCTCGAATGGAACTCATTCTTGGGATGCTTCAAGTTTGAGAAGATCAACCTTTGAGCTGCCCAAGGTTAGTGTTTCCGGAAAAGACCGTCGAATTTCCGAAGAAAACCGAAAGTTTCGTGAAGTTCCCGAAGATTAGGTTCCGAAGAAAACCGTAAAGTTTCCGAAGATGACCTTTTAGCTGCCGAAGATTAGTTTCCGGAAAAGACCGCACGAACGCCGTAAAGTTTCCGAAGACTAGTTTCCAAAGAAAACCATAAAATGTCCGAAGATCACCTTTTAGTTTCCGAACAAAACTTTGACCAGTTTTGACATTCCCCGACGTGTTGCATTTAAAAGGCAACATTTTGTGTTTTGTTTTGTGACGACCTTGGCCTGGCAGTGCAAAATTTTTCGTTGATTTTTGTACTGTATAACATATTGTACTAGGGTTGGCCTGCTGTTTCCAACAGCGGAAAAATACGATCCTCAAAATTCGAACCCGATAGATCAACGAATGAATAAATTGACAAACCGACAAACCACGGACCTTTTTTCCCGAGAGCGTCTGCGAAGGGTTCTTCGTAAAAAACATCTGCAGAAGAACTACGTCTCATCTACATCTTCACATCTTCACCTCTGCGCATCCACTGCTCATCTTCACCTCTACATTCACAACTGTACATCTACATCTCTGCTCATCTTCACATCCTCACATCACATCTACATTCACAACTGCACATCTACATCTCTGCTCATCTTCACATCCCCACATCTACATCTCACATCCTTACCTGTCATCTACATCTCACATCTTCACCCCTCGCAGTGCCGCCGGAGCGCCGCGAAACGCAACCCTCTCCGGAGATCGCGCGTGTCGAGCGCACGAAACGCAGGCGAGAGTGCGATTCTCTGTCCCTCGCAACCCTCTGCGGAGATCGTGCGTCGAGCGCACGAAATGCAGGCGAGAGTGCGATTTGTCTCTGTCCGTCGCAACCCTCTGCGGAGATCGTGCGTGTCGAGCGCACGAAACGCGACTTGTCTCTGTCCGTCGCAACCCTCTGCGGAGATCGCGCGCGCGAAATGCAGGCGAGAGTGCGATCTGGTTTTGTCGCGGGCAACCCTCTGCGGAGATCGTGCGTGTGGAGTTCGCGAAATGCAGGCAAGAGTGCGATTTGGTTTTGTCCGGCGCAACCATCTGCGGAGATCGCGCTTGTCGACTTTGTAGTACAACTTTAGTGCGCGAGGTATCTGGGGAGCTGGAAGATGAGAACTGGCGACTTTCTAGTACGACTTTAGTACGCGGAGTATTTGGGGAGCTGGAAGATGAGAACTGGCGACTTCGTAGTACAACTGTAGTGCGCGGAGCAATCTGTGGAGCTGGAAGCTGAGAACTGGCGACTTTGTAGTACAACTTTAGTACGCGGGAGTATCTGGGGAGCTGGAAGATGAGAACTGGCGACTTTGTAGTGCAACTTTAGTACGCGGAGTATCTGGGGAGCTGGAAGATGAGAACTGGCGACTTTGTAGTACAACTTTAGTACGCGGAGCAATCTGTGGAGCTGGAAGCTGAGAACTGGCGACTTTGTAGTACAACTTGAGTACGCGGAGTGTCTGGGGAACTGGAAGATGAGAACTGGCGACTTTCTAGTACAACTTTAGTATGCGGAGCAATCTGTGGAGCTGGAAGCTGAGAACTGGCAACTTTGTAGTACAACTTTAGTACGCGGAGTATCTGGGGAGCTGGTAGATGAGAAGTGGCGAAGTTGTAGTACAACTTTAGTACGCGGAGTATCTGGGGAGCTGGAAGATGAGAACTGGCGACTTTGTAATACAACTTTAGTACGCGGAGTATCTGGGGACCTGGAAGATGAGAACTGGCGACTTTCTAGTACAACTTTAGTACGCGGTGTATCTGTGGAGCTGGAAGATGAGAACTGGCGACTTTGTAGTACAACTTTAGTACGCGGAGCAAGCTGTGGAGCTGGAAGCTGAGAACTGGCGACTTTGTAGTACAACTTTGGTACGCGGATGAGTCATCTCTGGCGGCTGAGTCATCTCTCGCGGCTGCTCTGGCGCCCCTGCAGCTGAGTCATGTCTCCCGACTTGAGAGGTTGACAAATTTTAGCTACTTTGCTTACTCATAAGTGGCTGCCACAAAAGAGTCATCGTGACGTTAGTATGTGTGTACTTCACCTTCATGACACACGATGTTCGCTTGGAATACACGAGTCGCTTGTCATGATCGTGACGTCGTTTACTCTCAGGTTGCCCTGTTCGTGGAAACTTCAGTGTGAAATGTACGTTCTTCAGTTCTATTTGAACCTCTTCAGCGTTGTACTTGCGCAACTAAGGTTGACGTTGCACTGCCGTTGCATCGACGCATCTACGTCTACACCCCCTCACCTCTTTACATTTACATCTTCACACGCTCACATCCGCAGATCTACCTCTCCACCTCACCACACCCACACATCTGCACATCTATATCACATCTGTACACCCACACTGTCGCTCCTTCACATCTATCCTGTCTTTCTTTCTTTCTACATATCTTTTCTCTCGTCTCTGTGCATTTACATCTTCGCATCTCCACCTCCATACATCTACAGATCTATATCGCACCTGCGCATCACACTGTCACTCCTTCACATCCACCCTCTCTTTCTCTCTTTCTATACATCTTTTCGACAGTGCTGGACAATTACATGTCTCGCTCTCGGGCCAACCGTCGTCTAGTTTCCTTCTTAGCCGTCAGTAGGGAGCATGGGTCTGCAACAGAGCACATTCTCTGTGACCGGCCACGACAGCGGTGCTCGCTGCCGCCCGGTTCTGTTGCAGATCTCATCGATCACTTTCTGCAAGTTCCTTGTCACCTGCAGCGGCGGATAGCGAGCAGGACACAGGTCAGTGCCACAGAGCATTGCGCCAGAACTGCCAGAAAGCGCGGACAGCCACCCACTGCAGGTAGTCGAGGCACTGGGCTATAGGTTTCCAAGAACTGGTCTCGAGTGCCAAAGCCGCCATCCACCCAAAGTTCGCCGATCCTGTCCAGCAGCACCTTCATAATGAGGCCCTGATCCGGAAACAAAGACATGGGCTTTGCTGCAGTTGCTCTTGACCATTTTGTCAAACTTTCCCGGCTGATCCGTTGCCATGCAACTTGAGCTCCTGAAAAGCCCAAAGCGTTGAAGGGACGCCAGCCGTTGTGACTGGCCGCTTTCGAAGCCATGGATTGTTCAGCGAGGTTGAGGACCGATTCACCGATGCTCTGCAACACGGCTCGGGCGTCTGCTGATATCCCACCGTTGAAGTTCTGCTCTGAAGGACCGAAGTCCGCGTCGTCACCATCAGGCTCGTGTGCAATGTCTGGCATCTCATCTGCTGGCTCGAGATGCTCTGCATGCGGATTCCGAGGAACACCTGCCGTCTGTCCCCACACCATGTCCGAGTCGATCGTGGCCAGATATGCGATGCACCAAGCCGGTGTTGTCCATGCCGATGTGTCATGTAGGCGGTCGCGCAGCAAGCGACAGATGCCACGGCCACCCGCAAGCACCGCATATGCACAAACCAGTGTCAGCATAGAACCTGGCCGCAAAACTCGTGGACAAACCCACGGTAAAAACCAAGAAGGCAGACAACAAACAGTGCAAACGATCGGTAGAAAAAGCTCCGGTATTCCACACCATGAAAACCGAAAATGTTTGCATTACTTTTTGGGAATTTTGGAAAGCAAAATTGATATCGCGAACATACACCGTGCCTAGCATTATTTCGGCTATTTATGACCCCCGGAAGCAGCTGCGCCTCTGCCGGGCCACACGCAAGTGGCAAAATGGCTGCAGGAGCAGGACTGCTATGGTAAAGAACTGAAAATCGAGCTGATTAGGGCACCATCAGTTTTGAGAAAACCCAATTCGTTCTTGCAAAAAAAATTGTTTCTTTTCATAATGCTTCTGTGCAAGAAACTGTCTCCAATTTACACACAATATTGTGCGATGTCCATGATGCTTGCAAAAAACACCGTATAGTCTGATAATGATAATGCTAGTTTGCACGAAGCTGTCTCGCATTTGCCAACAATGCCAAGACCTTTTTTTGAAGCTGCAAAAGGCAACTCGAACAGAAGGTCATTCAGAACATGGAGCAAATGACCGGCGCAATCACAACAAGCCAGAATGAATAATGCACATATGTGTATGTATGTCAAAAGATGCAGGGCGAAAATAGATCAACGCAGTGCTGCCAAACAAATGCAAAATTTTTCAAAACATCAAGCAAATTGAAACTTTATCAATGCAGTGTTGCCACACAAATGCACTCTGTCAAAGCATCAAACACAAGTATTGAACTTGCGACGCGCTCACGCGTTTAATAACTATAATGTATTATGGTAAGGCCTTATTCCCTTGTCTACGCGTCCGAACATTACAGCGGCTGGATTCGAACCCGCGACCCGACGGCGTCGAAACGTAGCGGAATTGCTTAGTGGTACATGCCCCAGGACGAAAGCAACATATATGAAATAATTGGATTATTTCTTGTATTTGAAAATCGCAATATATAAAATAGTCCAATTATTTGGGGGGGGGTCCCGACAGCGACGGAAACCGTAGACCAATTATGAAGGAGCCAAGACTGGAAATGAAAAGGCGAAAATGTAGGAAATAATCCGATTATTTCGAACATTTTGCTTCAAAAATCCGCGTATTTTTACTCGATCGCACCCCAGTCCGTAATATTGGTAGTAATACATAGATTTTTGTGGGGTTGCGCAGAGCACAGCAGCGGAATGCAACATCCTCTGAAAAAAGGAAGTTGCCGGGTGCCATGGTTTTCTGGGTGGATCGGATCGGTGGATCGTTTGCGCACGGGCACGTGGCAATGGATCTGAGCCCTTCATATTTCAGCAACGTGCAAACGACAACCTGTTCCAGGGTAGACATTTGTCAATGGTTTCGGCTCAAGCTCCAGCAAATCTCATAGTCTAGTGTTTTGCTTATGGAAAAAATGTTGCTATTGTGTACAACAATCAGAAACGTGTCAATAAATATTGTTTCCTGTATATAAGGTCGTTGTGTTTGGCAACACAGAGAAGGCCCATGCATATCGTTGAAACACAAAGAGGCAGTGAATGTAAAGGCAACACATGCATTACACTAATATATACATATATACATATTATATGTACATGTACGTGTATGTGTATGTGTACTTGAATATGAATATGTAGATGTAGATGTAGTCCACACGCAGATGAATGGCATTCCTCTGGCAAAACGGATGTGAAGATTGTAGCTCTAACATTCAATTGACAACCATCTACATACGTCAACAATTGTTGGGTGTTGATGTCTTTCTTTGACTGCCGCAATGGATCTTGGCGGTGAAGGGCAGGCTTGCCTTGGCCCGAACAATGGACCCAACATTTTTGGAACCAGCCAAATGGTCATTTTGGATGCTTTTGATGATGAACCTGACCCCGTTGTTCGGAACTTTTTCCTTCAATAGCCAGGGGCATTGGGCATTTGGCCCGGCCCAACAAGGAAATGGCCGGTCATGTGAGGCAATGGACCCAGGAAACTACACCCCTCCTAAGTGTCGTATCTGTTTCCAAGTCGCCACAGAAATACCAGGTATGTTGGTATATAAACAACACAATTTTTGTTTGGCCAACTTTCCTCCACATATGTTCCTTCATTTAGAGTTGATAGAGCAGCAAGTGAGGATGTCCTATATCAACATCGACACCAGAGGGTTTGCTTTGGAACTTAAAGAAACACACATAGTGTACGCTGCCAGTTGCCAGGTTGACTTGATTAGCTTGGCAGCGCTGCCAAAGCCAGATGTGAGGACACTGAGATGTTTGATCGAAGGAGCAGGGAAGGCTTTCAGCTTCTTTTCAGCCCAGCATGGGTCGGAATGCGTTTGGGGTGAAGATGCATTTTCAATTTTGGATGTGCCACGTTTTGATTCCAACCATTTCAGTCCAGCAATCGACTGAACCGGGTGCGTGGTGGAACTTGTGAGCTGGATGATTTGTGAAGGCTTAAGAAGAAGGCCTGAAGGCATCCCAATTGTGCTCCTGACAGCTACTCAGGTGAAATTGCAGCAAAAATATGATGCCATGGGTCTGCTGGGGACCTCAATTTCATGTTGTTGTCATGGTTCAATCTGTTTTTTGTCCATGTTGGGGTCACTGTGGAAAATCAATCGTCAGATTCATTGCTTCATCGATTGCCCACGTCATCTTTTCAATCTGAAAAGTCCCCACAGTGCGGACGTGAACACCTCGAAAGCTGCATGGATTGCATTTTGTGCATCGCAAAGGTGTTTTTGTTGAAAAGGCCACAGTATAGTGACATTCCTTCAGGTTCCCAAAACGCAACCAACAAAGCATGCTGCCAATTCTACGATCCGACAAACAGGAAAGGATTGTGATTTGTGATGTAAAGAATTCACTGAGACAATATACTGTAGAGAATTTCGATTTGTGATGCAAATAGTTTATTGGTAACCTGCTGGCATTGTCAGCATCTCTGTGCTTTGCGACAGTCTTTTTTGGGGGCGGAGGGCGGCAGAGTGAGATTGTGGAGCAGATCGTCCCAGACACAATCGACAGACTCATTCTCGAGTCGTGCCGGTGGTCATCCGATGAGGCCTGACCCGGTGGCCTTTGCCTTGCTCACTGCTTTGGGAGCCATTCAGGTGGAGCTGACCGGTCCCGCGTTCGCTCTGCCGGGTCCCGCGTCCGTCCGTTACGCGACGGTGAGGACCCCATGGCGTTGTTGAATGAGATGATGTCCGCTGCTCAGGCGGCCTGTCGTTTTCCTTCTTTTGGAGGAGATGAGTGTCACCAGGAAGCACTGCAATGAGCCTCAAACAAGCATTGTGGCAGCCGCAGCAGATTTTGGAGTGAGAGGGGTCATGTGGCCTTGATGCACGAAGGTTCACACACATGCAAACGATGATGGTTCAATGCCGAAGCGATTCAGTGATGACTTTCCAGCACTCCCCTGATGGCCTGTGATGTTTTCACAGCTGCAACATGTCCGATGGAGGCCCCATAAAGAATATCACGGCATTTGTTGCCAGTTGAATATCAGCAGATATGACAATGACATTTCCCCTTGTTAGGCAAGTGACATCCAACACAAAGTATTCTCAGCTTTCAACATCTATTTTTGGCTCGCTGACTTACGTTCTTTTCTCTGAGCAGTCCTCAAGAGTTCCAGGGGTTGTTTAAAGAGGTTGACATGGTTGCATGGGGTGTAGCTATGAGAGCTACGAGAGCTATGAACTCAGTTTCTTGAGCTTCAAATGCAAGTGCTCGCATAATGATATATCGCACGCACGCCAGGCCGAAGAAGAAGAGAAGGCACAAGACTTAGCTTCCAGATCCCAAGACTGGCAGAGATTTGACACCAGTGGTTGAAGAAGATCGCTTCTTTGGTGGTTTAAAGAGGGTGAGGTTTTGTGCAGGAAAACGTACTGAACTGTCCCGAAAGAAGACTGGGGGGACACCTCAGCGAGTCCACTGAAGAAGTTCAGCATGCCAGCTTTCTGGGCAGAAACGTTTCTTTTTTTCTTCCATGGGGAATGATTCTTAGGTGCATCTAAAAATACCATTTGCTGGTGTAGCCAAGGGAGTGAACAGAGGTTGGCTGATTGACTACGCGATGACCAAAGGCTGCTAGATTTTGAGGGACAAATTTGTACTGTATGGAGAAAGTCATCCTATGCCTTTGCTCATTGAATGGGTCAAGATCTCGATCCATGCACTGATCCATTCATTGAGGCTTTCTGGAAGCATGGAGCTCAGCTCGCTATCAGCTCCAACAGTAGCGGGTCGACAAACTCTTGTATGCGATGAGCAGGGTTGTGTTGGGCTTGGATTCCCCATCCACATGCGTGACCTTTGCAGAGATTGCGTGCATGGAAAAAGGAGCGCATCAAACCCCTTTTTCACCTGGCAGTATCCACACCTCACCTCACTCAGCAAGCACCTCCCTCAGCGAGTTGGTGTTTCTGGGATTCGAATCTAATTTATGGTTTCTAATAGCTGTTACTAGTAGCGATGCCCTTTGCTCCTAGTAGCTTCCTTGCTACTAGTAAGGCCAGGAGCTACTAGTAGCGTCCTTGCTCCTAGTTTCGTCAGAGCCGCTGGACTGAGCTGGATTTTGAATGGACACCTCCGTCGATTGAGGACTGGCCCACAGACCTTGGCTGGTGAGGCCTTTCGGTGTGCAATTCCGGTTGATGAGAAAACGACAAAAGGGTCAGAAGCCCCCAAGTTTCAGCCGTCATCAGAATGTCATACACTTGTCACATCAGAATCTGTCTAAATATGTCGACAGGTCCTTCATCACATCTCGGAGCCCTTCATCCATCATCCAAGGGCATCGCTACTAGGAGCAAGGACGCTACTAGGAAGAAGAAGCTAATACCACTTGGTCTTTCCTCTTTCATCCACTTGGCTCCCTGGTGTTCCACACTGTGCCAGTCACCCCCACCTTCGTCCGTGAGGCGGCCGACAGCGCTGAGCTTGAGCGCCTGGCCAAGCAGGCATGCGGACCAACGGTCGCTTCCGGCGAACTGAGGACCCAACGGACTGAGACGGGACTGAGACGAACCTCAAGGGGTAAGGTAGTAGTATAGTGGAGCCTCTCAAAAACAAGCATATTTTTGAGCCAATCTCGTGGTGGCGCTTAGTGTACAATCCCAAAAGTTAGTGGTTCCACACGCGTACGTGTTCCACACGTTTAGGTGTTTTAGAGGTTTAACGTGTTCCGCAGGAGAGCTACACCACGATAGATGGATCATCGTTGGTTTCGATCACCCATGGAGCTACACCTCTTCCGAGTCTTTGGTCTTTGTCCCAGAAGCCAAACAGAGCCGGATGGTCACGTTTGCCAGATGTTTTCTTCTTCTTCTTCTTCTTCTTGGAATCCACACCCGTTCTTCTTCGATGAACATCGAACGTCGAAAGCTCTTTTCGCCCGTCGTTGCGAAGGTGAAAGAAGCCGCCGAGCAGGCAGAAGATTTCCTTTTCGGAGGGACGCGAAGTTGGTGCAGTGGCTTGAAGAATCCTGTGGTGAACCGTGGCTCTTTGCTCTTTTGACCATAACAAGCAGTTTAGCACAGTGCGCGTCCTGTGTTATTATTTGGGTGCCGACCCACCCTGGTGGTTTTGGCGAGTGGGATGTTTCTTCGCGGTAGAAGGACCTTTTGCGGCTTTCTCGCCGCAAGGGTGCCTTTCTTGTTTTTTCTCGAGGCGAGGGCAGCCACAGTGGCTGGAGGTCTTTCCACCGCCACGAGCTCAGCTGGACTTCTCCCAGTTAGTGGCTAGCGGCTTTCCGCGAGGGGCGATGAGGTCATTGATGGGTGCGTCAACATGGTTCAGCTTGCCAAGTGAGGAAATGTATCGAGAATCGATCCAAGAAAAGCACACTCACCAAGAACGTGACAAAGAAACTTTGGCCCTGACAGTTTGGTACTGTACAGTTGCTGACATGATGTCAGAAGTGAAGTTGACGCACACTTCAGAAGACTTGATATCCTTGTGGTGAGAAGTTTGTTTGTTTCTTAAGATTTAACAGTTGGACTTCAACCCCCAGACATCCACCCGACGCATGACTCTCCACCCGAGGTTGAGGGGGCTGCAGCCCGAAATGTGCGGTCGCAAGAGATGGAATGAGTTCAACGAGTCCTAGAAACAGCGAAAGTTGCGTCCCAGTGGAGCGACATCAAACTGACAACCGACATGAAGGTTGGCCACATCACCTTGCTTAACATTTTGCACAAGCACAAAATTGAAGGGACCGAATCCCCAATTTGTATAACTTAGACAGTATCTCTTGTCCTCGCATGTGTTCTTGCTGTGATTACAGTATCATAAGCCACGAAGTCCTTTTGGGGCGGACACACCCAAGGTCGCGCAAGCCTTTGCGCAAGCAGAGGACGAAGAACAGCGACCAGCGGCCTCACACCCGGAGATCCATTTGAGGGCTTTGTCACATGAAAACATAGAGATGGACATGCAAAGTGGATGCACTGATGGTGACCAGCACAATCCCCGTCTCCATGGAGTCATTCCGGAAGTCCGCACTTCGAGGAGTGTTGAGTGCAGAAGGTCAGTTCTTGCATCCCGCTCTGATGAGTTCAGAAGCCTGTTGTTTTTCAGATGCCTCGCTTCCTACAGCTTCACGTGCAAGAATGATGGCATAGGGTTTTTGAAACCACCTAACGGGAAGGTTGGCGTATTTGTCAGAGTTCTCTTCTCTTCTGCATGTCTTCTTCCACGGTCATCCTCCATCCCCGGTGGTCCAATATCACACCCCTGACCATTAGCGGTTCAATCAGTATGGATGGTTGTTTGTTTCAATCGTACTGATTCTCATTGCTTCGGATTCAACATCTGGATTTGTTTCATTGCTTTGTTTTTATTGTTCAATCAGTATGGATTCTCTTGATTTTCTCAAACCGAATGTCACGGTCACACCGCGTCACACCCGATGCTGAGGTCTTGGGACAAACCCTGAGCTCCTTGTTGACGGGCCGGGTCGCCTGAGACTGGAAATAGATTCGGGCCTAGTAGCGTCCTTGCTCCTAGTAGCAAGGCCAGGAGCCCCTAGTAGTAAGGCCAGGAGCCCCTAGTAGTAAGGCCAGGAGCCCCTAGTAGCGTCCTTGCTCCTAGTTGCCTGTTTGAAGATTTTGCCACGTTCATGCAGATGTTGGATTTGTGATTATGCAAGCCATACATTTGGACATTCAGAGGGTGGCTTGGAAGGAAGTCGGAAACACACCGCGTCTGCTGGAGTTTCGGAGGACTTGTGAGTCCAGCTGTTGCCTCCGTGAGGACGGGAGCGATCGACCGTGGACACAGGGCTGGCGCTGCCGACGACCTTGGACAAGGCCGCGACCGTTGGACGTTTGGGGCGAAGGAACTAGGGACGGATCAACGTAGAGGTTGAAGTGGAACATGGCCCCTTTGGAAGACGGTTTTCCTCGACAAACAGGTGGACTCTTCCTCCATGATTGTGCCAGGGAGTGTAGATTTTGCTGGACTCTTCTTTGGGCAAACACATGGTCTTGGCTCGTCAGTCCGTTACAGGTCAAAACAACATGGAGCCCTGATCCACCCTGTAGCTTGACCTTCCAGGTAGGTCAACCAAATTTCTTTGTCCTTCAAACTTCTCTATGCGCGGACAGCGGACATTCGGTCTCACATAATTAGCTAGTTTGCGCACTTTTGTATAGTGCATCTTTGGTATCTTTCCACAATGGGATACTCGTTTCAAATCCCTGGTACCCACCAACACGGTGAAGGGCCTAGGGGCGCGCAGACTCGGAGCGCAAGTTACGTCGGTAGGTCAAACAAGGTACGATGACAAGGTCTGACTCCTCATTGATTTCTTCAAAGAACCTGAAGGTGGCATCCCAGACGCCCGCAGGAGAACTGCTCGATTTTCATATGGACGACATCCAATGTGAAGGGGCATCCCTTTCAGAGGAGACCTGGGGGTGTAACCTGAGAAAGTCTAGGGACGTTTGACACGTTTGAGGTATTCTGGAAAAGGTCTCCATCCAGTCTCCATCAACCCTGATTAGTCCGATTAGATGGGGTCTCTTGCACTAGGGAGACCGAAGGTGTCAGGTGTTCCGACCCCCTGGCTTCAGTTCGGGAAATCTGCCGACTGGTGCGACGAAAGCAGAGTGGCTGAGGGTGGCTGGATCCAATAGAATCTCTATTGGGGGGCGAACCTTCCCTTATTCCCTACAAGTCGCACCAGTCAGATGGTTTGGTGTTTCTTCTTGTCGTCCGATTTCTCAGGTGGCGGTGAGCCGCCTGCCGCTGGGCACCAACGAGGCACATGTGCGCCTGGAGTGTGCCAAGTATGGAGCCACTTAGCTGAATCCCCACACGGGCGGGCAAACGCGGGGAACAAGGGAAATCACATCCCTGTGGGCCAACTGGTCAGTCAGAAACAAGCAACTGGTTTTGGTCGTCTCCAGCAATGTCTTTGGGAGGTCAATCAGGCGATGGTCTTGGGGAGACAGCTGCCTCCGGCCATGCCACCAACAGACGCATGCATCTTGCATCCACTCTCTGAGGCATTGACAGCCGTGGTGCTGGAGGACACCACAGCGTGCAGAGCTCTGTTTTTTGATCGATTCCGTTGTAAAACGCTTTTGCACAGGGCTGTCAGTCCATGGAAGACCACAGACGCGCAAGTCACATAGTCGGCCTCCTCCTCAAGACGTTTGTCGATTTTGTAGCCGGACAGTGAAGGTATGTGTGCTACAGCTCTTCCGACATGGCCCAATTGGCCGTCCGGTCGTGGGCTAAGACCGCGGTCTAAGACCGCGTAGATGTTCCTGGCAATCAGATGCGAAACAGCAAGGGTGAAGTCGTAAAAGGTTTGTTTGCTTTCAAGGCATGTTTGCCAGATATGACTGTCACAACTGAGCTTGGCAACTAAGCTTCGAAAGGGTTTGATTACGTTCGCCTCGAACACCAAGCGAACGCAGCATGTGCCAGAGACCTGCTGACCTGCCTTTGCACCTGCTTTGTGAGATTAGGCACCTGGCTGTATGTCTTGGATCCAGTGACTGACCGTTTTGACGTTTCGGCACGACTCCTTTTCGAACAAATTGAGGTAGTTTCCCTCCTTCACACCCTTGAAAAAGCAACCAAATTCCTTTTGCTTTGCAATGTCTTGCATACATAGTTGGCTGAAGCTCACAAATCAAGCTTGAAGCTTACCAAATGATCTCTTCGAGGTTTGTTTCCATGTTTGCTTGCTGCTGATGCAAGTGATGCTGACTATTGTTTGAACTTTTTCTTTCTCGGCGTTGCCCACACGTTTCTTGTTTTTTTGACAAAGCTATCTGGCTCGTCTGACCCTCCCAGCGCACTGGGGACAGAAAGGTCATGAAGAACCAAATTCTTTGAAAAGACATGGTTTGCCCTGGAATCCAGACATGTAAGTTATGACCAGTTTGAATGATCTCATTGGTTCGGGGATGATGTGTAATTCTAGAGGTTATAACAAGCGGACAGCAGCCTCAAGTTTTTTTGCATTGAATCCCGTATACCAACCAAGCAGTCTTGGGAGAGACATGTCCTTTAGATGGGGGTCCATATAAACAACCTTTTGGGGATTGTGCCATCTACTCCGAACCCACTGTATTAAACTCACTTGGAATTTCCTGCACCTTGGTCCAAATCAGAGCTTTCGCCGAGGTTCATGCGGACCGGTCCCGTCACAATTTTTATTTTTCTAAGATCTCCCCTTTGCAGCTATTCCACAGATAATGGACTATGTAGACGCGCTACCACTCTAAAATATAGAAGGTGGCAACTGATTTGTGTTTTGCCGTGGCTATGTAACTCATTTGCCCTTTTGGACACATGTTCCCAGCCGCCGCTTCGTGTTCCGACTCGTGCCTGAGGCGAATGGCCAACAAGGCGGGTCTCTTCGGAGGCGCGACATGGATTAGCAGCGCGGCGCTCTCTTTCTTTCCGCACCGCTCGGGACCGCTCGGCACCGGTGACCGAACGCGGTGACACAAACGGGGAGACTCCGCTCGATCCGAACGCGGCGCTTCGATGCGAAGCGGCTTCGGACGATGCCCGATGTGGCGCCGATGTGGACGGGCAGAGCAGGATGTGGTGCAGAGCAGGGTTGTCCCATGTTTCGTTGACGGGTGAATTGGCACCTCCAGTCAAGCACACAGTTGGAGGATGCTGGAAAGTTGTTGGGGCCATGCTCGTCCTGGTCCCTTTGACAGTTGGAGGGTCCACATGAAGCATCCCTCGAAGTCAGAGAAGCCTGGTCTCGACCGCTTTCCCGCCACCCGGTTCCCGCTGGCGAACATCGGCCGCAGGCACTGAGCCAGTGCAGGTGAAGCTCATCAGTTGAGCCCTGAGGGCGAGAGTGGACTCCATCACACCGAGTTTTTCGATCCATATAGGGTTGTTCAACCTGGATCCTTGGTCCACCATGTCTTTGAGTCGGACCCTGGTTGACCAGAAGAAATCAACAGCACCTCTTTTTCCGGTGAAACCCAGCCATCTAGCTGTGGATCATGGCACCCGGAGCGCGGAACTCACCCTGGTAGGTTGACCATGGCTCTATGTGGAGCCGTCTCATGGCTCGACCAGCGGGTTTCGTGCGGGTTGCGCCTAGGTGAGTTGCCGGAGAACGTCCGAAGCCAGGCAGCCGCCTGCTCAGGAGGTTGGCAGGTGCCGGTGGTCCTTGAGCAGTGTCAAACTGGAAGAACATCATACCATGCAAAGACATTTCCAAGTGCTTTCTTGGCACGTGGTGTCCATTTTTTTCCAAGAGGGACATCTCAAGCAATCAGCAGGCTTTCGCACAAGGCTGATGGTTTGGGTGTGGCGAAGCAGTGGGAAACCCGCCATGGACCTCCGCAGAAACCCTGAGGTTTGCGTCCGTTTTTGCCCCCACCCGTGGGTCTGTGTGAGCAGTTTCTGGCCAAATATGACCGAATGAGGTTCACCCAAGAGCAAAAGACTCCACCTTCAGACTCAGGCACCGCTAGCTCCAGCCTTCTCTGCTGAGCAGCCAATCAATGCGGTTGGGGCCACGGTGTCGTCGAAGGACGTTTCACACCTTCGCATACATCTTTGGCATTTGGTTTGAATCACTTTGACCTCGTAGATTTCGATTTCGGCACGTGCTTTAGACCAGACCCCCGGAATGCATCTCTCGCGTTTTATCCGAAGCCGACTCCACCGGACTCGACCTGGAAGCCTTTTTCAGGCCCAGCTGCCGGACTACCTGCGCGCGCGGAGCTCGCGGAGCCCAAAGAGGCGCCAGAGTCGCTCCACGCGCCGGAAGAAGCGGAAGAGCAGGAGCGGAGCCAGAGCGGAGCGGTCCGGAGCGGTCCAGAGCGTCCGGGTGCCACTCAGGGCTCGGGTTTCAGCGGAGCAGGTATGAGTGCGCGAGGCTTTAACTCTTCTTTGGGCGTGGGGCCAGTGAGGCTCTGAAGTGTTGGGTTGGAGGAAAGGTGAAGGTGAGTGTGTTGGAAGAGCAGGACTGGTTTTGCTTGGAATGGCCCACCTATTCCCCTACAGGGAAGGATCCCCTAGAGGTTGAAAACTAAACTGATTCTTCGGTGATGAGGCTCCCATTAGTATATAGGACCACCAGCCACCAACCATCAAAAATATGGTCTTTTCCTATCAACACAGAGGTCAAATGGGCTCCAGGTATATAGATATATATATATATACCCTAGGCTTCCAGCAATCATTCATTTAATAGGCTTTACCGAATCAAGCAAGGATTTTACACTACAAAAACCAGGTCAAACATTTTTTTAATGGTCTTGGAAGTCTAGGGCATATGGACCAAGCGTGAGTTGCCGCCCAGAGCATCCTGGCTTGCTCGATCAGGAGCGTGAAGCGCTGGCTGGACAGGCGTGGCATTCCTCTCGTGGCACGACTGGCTCGGCACCCCTGGGATTCCAACCACCATTAATGGTCTTTTGCTAAACAACCATTGTTTTACTAAGGATTTTACAAGACCGGGTCAACCATTCTTTTGCATAATGGTCTTTGAAGGCCAGAAATACCTTTGTTTGTAATGCTCAAACCCCCAAAGGTTCAAACTTTCTTTATGACGTGCGACCGGGAGATGCACTTGCAAGCTGGTCAACTAGAGGGAACCTGACCAAGCTGCAGGTATCACTGGTGTCAGTTGATTGTGCTGGGCTATCAACTCCTGGTCAAGGAGAGTCGGTGCAGAGGGTCGCAGCGGTGCTGAAACTCCAGGAGTCGCAGCAACAGCCATACGGCGACGGGACAATACATCAGAGCCACCGGGTGCTCGAGCACCGTCGCTTGGGACGGCAAGCAGTTTCTGCAGTTTGTGGGAGTGGAACTAGTCCAAACTGGAACGCACAAGGGCTTTTGCGCCCGAGCTTTTGTTCCTGACCTTGCAACAGTATACTTGTTTGTGTTTGATGCACATTACACTGTCCAACGAAAAGACTCCCAGCACCATGGACTCCGGGTGTCCATGAATAGTCCCGAAAAGAGGTGATTTCGGGGTGTCCATGTCTACCACGGGCGTCCTGGGCGTCCTGGTCCCTGACTTGCTAATAGGAGGCTTCTTGGATTGCATCGATCGACACTGATCGATCGACCGTCTGCTTCCGGTCGGTCGATCAGTGTCGTTCGTCTGCTTCCTCAGGTAAGATGGTGGGAGCGGCGGCGTGGAGCTTGGACAACACGATAAAACCGGCTTAGCCGGTTCAGTCTGTTGGACAGATATAGAATATGTCATGTTGTCTTCGTTTTTCTTCTTCGTTCTCCTCCTCCTCTTCTTCTTGTTTCACGAGTTTCGTCCAATCTAGAGCTTTGAGCCACAATAGTCCGCTGCCCAGGCGGCAGCATTGCCTTTGCAGTGGTGTTGTGATTTTCAGAGAGCCTACTCTTGTAACAGACCATCTGCCGTCTTTCTGTTTCGCATGGATCTAAGATGTCAGGCGTGACAGTGACAGTGAGCGTAGCGCCAGCCGGGCCAAGAGGACGCAGAAGGCGAAGACAAAGCGAAGGGACGTGAAATGGACTACCCAAAACGAACCGAACACATATCAAACAGTTTTGGAAGGTACTGAGGTTTGCCCTGGGTTCTCCCCCACCAGAAGTTGCTGGCAAAAAGGTCAAGCACGCAAACAAGCTCATTGGCAGGGGGGTTCCTGAAAGACTCATCTCCCAGACAGGGTCATTCTCTCCCATACAGATCCCCAGTCGGTGGACGCTGACTGGTCGCCGGGATTTGGGGTGGTCGCCTGTGGAGGGGTGGCCAGCTCCAACCCCTTTCCCATTTGGACGACGTCATGTCCTGGTCAGTCGATGGAGAGTTCGGACTTCTGGGCAAAAGGCAGATCTGAGATCTTTTTACCAGGAGTCACAAGACGGGGTGGTTTTGGTCCCTAAGTGAGTGGATAATGGGCACCCCTATCCTCCAAGTTAGGCACCCCTTTGTGACTGCTGGCACAGATGGTCAGATTGATCTTCGTTGACATGGGAAGCCCCCGAAGCTGCTTGGGTTGAAGGTCCCATTGACGTTAGGGCCTAACCCAAGCAGCCTCGCTGTTCACCGGCTTCGTCCACGGTTTCGCGGCGTCCTCCCAGGCGGAAGCAGATTTGGTCGCCAAGCGACCCCGCCAGGTGGGCGTCTCTACGCGGATGGAACGAAGAGAAAGACGATGGACTAATGCCTTGGTGCTTTGCCTGATGCCTTGGTTTCATGTTGGACTGGTGAGAGTTGAACTACTGTTGCTTTCGTTCAGGCGATTTGTGGTGAATGAATGGTTGAACACCCATTCACCGTGATCTACTGCTCCGGCGTTCGAACAGCTGGGTTCAACCCTTTGGATAGCACGAGTGCTACAACAATGACGGCCACTCTGCAAATACTACGAAACATGCTGCATACTCGTTCACCCCAAGATAGATGCAGCAGATGGCTCCCACAACCTACAGATCCTCCTACAGTAGCAGATCGACAAAACCATCGAAATCCTTCACAGACACAGTTTGTAGGTTTCCGAGGTGCTCTTTGCATATTTTCAGAAATTCAGAGAGAGGGACCTGCAGGCAACTCCACCAGTACCGTAGATGGACGAAGTATTCAAACACCTGTTTCAACGAGACTTGCGTGGGCTGATGCTTCTATATGCTTCTATTGCGGGTTTGATGTTGTTCAATCATCTGAAGGTCACGCTCCTCTTTGCCCAACTTGTCTGAACTCTTGGCGGCCCTTCGTTGGTCCTGACGCCTCGTCGCGGTGCTGCTCGGCACGCCTCGTCGCATCGCAGACGCCTTGGAGGATCTCCCCGTGTTCCACGCGCGTTGTTCCAAGATCCTTCAACCAAAGGGCCACAGACCCCCTGTGTTTGTCCCGCATGCGGATTTTGGCCCTTTAGTCCTTTAGAGGCTGCTTTTTGTTTCGGATTCACCAGAAAGCAGATGTGGCCCAGCAAAAACCGGTTCTTTCGATCAGGGAGGACAGATGAGGACAGGTTTTTCTTGTTGACTTCAAGAGTGCTGACTTGAAGTCCTGCCGATGGTGATGTCAGTCTCAAATGAGCAGCGTCAAAAATCTCTCACGAACAGTTTATATAAGCAAACTTGTAAACTCCAACTTGCCCGCGGAAGCCAAAACTGCAGTCGTGGAAGCTTGCGGAAGCCACCGCGTAAGTATATATACAGTATGGTAAAATTCACCATCGCTGAAGCTTTGCGGAAGTGAATATGTTATCTTCTTGACAATAATCAATGCCTCTATACTTAAGGAGATTTGTCTAACCTATGAGCACTTTTGAGAAATACGTCGCGGAAGCGCCGCGGAAGAGGATTTCAACCAAACATGGCCCGCGGAAGCCAAAACGCAGGTCGCGGAAGCTCCGCGCAAGCATTGGCGGAAGCGAGTTATGAGTATAACAGATCGTAGACCGTTTTTTTTTTAAAGTTGACACCGCTCAAATGGGGGTCGGTCTCACATGAGCAATGGACACTGGAAGAAAGCACCAGAACTTGAAGCAACTCCGGAAATCTCCTTTGAAAAAGCACTTGACGCACCAAGAGTCCTCAATGAAAACGGGAGTCGGGCCTGGGCCTGCAAAGGAAATGCCTACCAAAGCCTCTGCAATTGGGCCACCGGGGGTGTTCGCGACCTTCCCCCAGTCCAGCGCATGGCTTGACCCGAATTTGTTGGCACCCCAAACATTTGTTGGCTCCCCAGTGTAATTAGATGCATATCCACGGTGCAGATGCTGCTTCTAAAAGGTCGACTGAGTCTAGCGAGTCTAGAGTCGGAAGGTTAAGCTTTACTTCTGCAGCGATGTAACGTACTTTTATGCCTTGAGTCTTGATCGTTCTAGTCGCTTTTTACACATACTTATCCTGAAGGTCAAGCTAGCAGAGAAATGATGCAACGAGATTTGAGAGGTCTGGTTTGTAAGTTTTCCAGATCATGCTTCCCCCTCATCCCTTGGCACGTCTGAAACTTGCACGTCTGCAGAATTTTCTCACACGGGTCTGATGCTTTCGCTCATTGACTGGCTTGAGATAAAAAATAATGAACCGCGAACCAGCCTTTCAACCTTTTTGGCTTTCACCTGATGCTTTTCCTTCGTGGCGCGGACTGAGGGTGAGTCGGTTTCCTGCGTCTAGGTGGCCATCCGGGGGCTCTGGGCTCAGTTGGTGTACTGCGGCTTCTCCTACTACTTCAATGTGGCCGCTGCCATGTTTGTCGAACATTTTTCGAAGCCGAGCAGCGGTGCTTATCCAGTTCAAGCAAGACATGCAAAATTCGTCATCAAAGCTCACGGTTCCAGTGTCGAGAATCAGTTTAAAAGCGGAATCGGAACTGACGCTCGCAGCATGCTTGGCCTCTTGCATGTGAGTCAGCAGCTTCGATGTGTGCGCCCAGCTGTTTGCTCTCTTACTCCCCGTAGAGCAGGTCGAAGTAGCAGTTTGGGCCATCACAATGATTGGCTTCAAGTGGGGCGTGGATCGCGATGCTTTGGGGATGGCCCAGACGGGACATGCGAGGGCTCGCGTCATTGATATGAAGGCGAGGTGTTTGCGTGTTCCATGATGCACTTCCAGATCACAGAGTGATTTAAATAACATTAGGTGGAATATCCGCAACGCGGACTTTGCACTCGTTGTTTTTTTTGCAGTTGCAGCTTATGGTGCTAGTTTCATTGTTTCAGTGTCGCGGTTTAGTGGCAGGTTGGTCCTGCTGTAGTTTGTGCCATGCTTTCTTGCAGTGTCCTTCCTTTTTGGTCCTTGAACTCTTGACATGCCAGCTTCGGACCTACAAAGAAAAAAGACACTCATGGACCAAACGATGACTGTTTCCGCTCTTTCGCGAAAGACCGATCCGCGCGTTCGGAGGGTTCGGCATCCGAAGTGTCTGGTGGAACGGCACGTCCCCAAAGGCCGTGATCGCGGAGCTCATCGCGATGACGCTCTTCGTCATCATCGGCTGTGGCACGGCATGTGCCAACGGCGCCGGAAATGCGAGCCAGCGCTTGGTGGTGGCCTTGGCCTTTGGCATGGGGATCCTGGTCTTGGCCTATTCGGTGGGACACCACAGTGGCGGGCAGATCAACTGCGCCGTGACCCTGTCCTTGGTCTTGGGTGGTCAAGTGCCTTGGTACCAAGGACTCGCGAACTTGTTGGCTCGCTGGGCAGCTTGCTTGGAGCTGCGCTTTTATGCGCCGTCTTCCCATGCAGCCAGGATATGACCGGAATGACCCTGGGCACCAACGTCATCAATGATAACTATGGATGGGGAAATGTGTTGGTCGGGGAGCTCCTCTGCAGCACTTCAAGGATTGTCTTGCACCTTCGTCAGATTTGTTGGATTCGATTCATGAACCTTGCTTGATTCATGAACATGTCTCATTTGGGCTACAGTAGAATTCATAGATGTCTTTATTCACCGCAATCGCCGCAAGATGGTTTGTCTCGCAAACAGAGGAACCCCTTTGTCTCACCAGTTCTCAGTCCCCTTCCCAACCTGCTGAACTTCGCCCTTCACGCCACATGGCTCGAGCCGACAGTTCGCTCGCTCGCTCGTTCAGGTTCTTGGGCACCTTTATCCTTTGTTTCGTCGTCTGGGAGACGGCGGTCTCTCCTGCGGCCTCCTGTGGGAAGAACGCCTGCATCGCGATCGGCTTTGCCGTCTTCCTGGCGCATGTGCTGCTGCTGCCCATCGACGGCTGCTCCATCAACCCCACCCGATCCTTTGGTCCAGCGCTGGTGAGCGCCATCCGGAACTGCCCGGGACGTGTGACCAAAGGCTTGGAGGAGCGGTGGGCCTGGAAGAGTTGGAGGTCGGATGTGGGAGGTGAAAGTTGTTGGGGGCGGACTGATTTTGGAAGAGTTGGTGTTGTTGGAGTGCGTCATTTTGTTGGCCCCTTCCAAAACGTGAAAAGGGATGGGTTGACTGAGGAGTCAGCGCAAGTCAGTGGGAGGCTGCGTTGAATGTTGCAGTCGAAAAGGCACCGCTGAAGAAAACACCTCGCCAAGAGTTTGGTAGGACCCGCAAAGACTAGCAGGTGTGACCGCTACCCAAACTGCTAGCTAAGACTAAGAAACAGCCACTACCCACTAAAGAAAGAGGGGTAGTTTGTTTTTCTCCTTCAGCAAAAACGTATGTGACTGGCTGGGGACCAGCTCACAGGACCTTTGGGTGATGTGGGTGGGACCTCTACTTGGAGGTGCAGCGGCTGCAGGCCTTCACTTTGCCTTCAAGCCACGAGGTGTCACAAGCACCAAAGTTCAGGACTTTGACTCCTGAAATGGCCCGACCACCAAGGGTCACAATATCCAATATCCAGTGCTCTTGGGCTGTTTTCAGTGGCTCCCAGCCCATCCAGAAAGGCCTCCAAATCCTTGTTTCACCGATCCTTTGATTGTGAAGTCTGCATCTGGAGTGAGAGAACCCCAGTCCATGAGACTTTTTTTTGGCCCAGTCTACAGTAGTGAATAGGACATGCTGAAGGTAGAGCAAGACCTTTGCAATTCTTGCGGAGTGGCCTGATTAAATCAGCCATCGCCTGACCTTTCAGCTGATCTTTTGACGAACACTCACCTGTTCAGCTGAAGAAAATTTTGAGTAGCTCGTTGTGTGAAGTCCACTGACCTTCGGGGCCAAGAGTTCATGTTTCACCACTTGAGCGTGCCCAAAGACATGGCGGAAATATGCAGCTCGCGAGATGGAGACGTTAGCCCTCGTTGGTGGAAGGCGATACGAAGGGGCTCTTTCTCAGCCGCACTCGCAGAAAATCTGTCAACCTCGAAAAATAGTTTGAAGGGACGATGGATAATATGGACCGATGACCTTCGGCCAAGGGTGCCGACCAAATCATTCACGTGCCGACCAATGAAACTACCAGGTAAATTCGATCCTTCCTTCACCTTCCGCTGCGTCAGATCCGAACGGAGCAGACTCTATGGGAGACGCCTTCGGATTTCGAGGTGGGGTTCAATGGAATTCTGACTTTGGAATGAATCAATTTATTCTTTATATCTTTCTAGAAAAAAATCCAACAATCAATCATCAATATATATTTGGGAAGGACTTTCTGTTTTAAATTGATCCAGGATGGGGAGAAACATAAAAATCAAACAAATACAATAATATAAAAAAACTATAAAAAATAAATATATTAACATATTTAATATGAATTTCTTTAATATGATCTTTTTGGAATGCTTAAATGACCTTTTTTAGAGGCCTAAATGATTTTAAATTACGAAAGCTAGCGAAGCTAGTTGGAGTTATTTTTGCGATAGCAAGATTTTTTTCGATCGGGTATAAATTTTAATTTTTTTTTTTATTTCCTTTCTTCCTTCCGTTTTTTTTCTTTCTTCGTAAGTTCGATTCCGTTTTGTCGTCGCTTTTTGGTATGCGGTTAGCGTTGCGTATTCGATTATTTTTACTTTCATTTTTATTTTTATTATTATTTTTATTTTTACTTTTATTATCATTTTAATTTTTACTTTTATTTTTACTCTTATTTTCACTTTTATTTTTACTCTTATTTTTACTCTTATTTTTATTTTTATTCTCACTTTCATTCTCACTTTCATTCTTATTTTCTCTTTTTCTTTCTCTCTTTTATCTCTCTTATTTTTCTTATCTGTTTCTTATCTCTCTTATTTCTCCTTTATTTCTTTCTTATTTCTCTCTTATTTTTGTCTTTTTTTTTTTCTCTTTCTTTTTCTTTCTTTTTTATTTCTCGTCTTTTTATTTCTTTTCTTTTTTTTCTCTCGCAGGAGGATCCGGGCAAAGAACCATATATAAAGGATTTTTCATCTGGAATTTATTCCGCCTAATTTGTGCAAGGCGTCTTGCCTTTTGCTATTTGTGCGATTGCCTCCAAAAAGAACGTCGTGTTTTTTTCTTATTTTCTCATTCTGGAGCGCTAGCCCCTTGGCCTTAAATTTGGATATTAAAAATTTATTTTGAAGAACTAGATATATAATATATAATCTATATATTGTATAATGTAATTTATAATTTATGGGTTGAATTTTGATATTTTATTTTATAAATTATATTTATTTTTCGATTAATTAAGATTCTATTAAATTTATATAGGATGTATTACAAATGAATTGATTGATAATAATTAACATAAATAATAATTTAATATTATAAATTATATATAAATTATATATTTTTTATATATTTTAATTTTTATTATATATAATTTAAATGACTAAATTGATTTAAAAAAAAAAAAAAAAATTTAAAAATATTAAAATTGAAAAATAAATATATATAAATATATATAATATATATTTATTAATATATTAATTTATATTAATTTATATAAAATTTAATATATAAAAATAGTGTGGAGTGATTGGCAATTGTTATATATTCGATTGGGATTTTGCCTATTATGTATTTTCCTATTATTATTTTGCCTATTGGGATGTCGAGAATTTATTATCGTCATTTAATTCTTCTTTACCGTGTTCCCTAATAAGGGAAGAAAAGAAGGATCTTCGGATTTATAGGAACATTGAATATTATAATTTGATTGGGATTATTAAAACACGATGCAATCTAGATATCTTGTTAATCCCATATAACAAATAATGAATGGATAATTTTACCCCCCCAAATTTTAATCGAACAATTAGACCTATATAATACAAACTACCCAAATTTGGAATTTCTTAGAATATCAAATACATTCCTATATGAATCCTCGTAGCCTCAATATACGAATTCGATCCTTTATAATCACCAAATGAAAATCTAATAAGAATCTTTACGTACTATATATTTTTTAAAATACTTAAATACATCTCATCGATATATTTAATAAAATTAAATGAAATTCCCAATATACTAAAAAAAGAATAAATCAAAAAATAGATAAAATAAACAAATATCTAAGATTCTCATAAATCGCAAATAAATCTCCACATATATAAAAAAACGACAAAACACATAATTTCGATTCTAAATTGATAACTAATTATTAATCAAACATTTAATTTCATTTCAGCTTCCAGCAACCTCCTCGGGTTGCCCGTATTGGGCAGCGGACAAACTTCCTTGCCGGACGCATCGCGTGCATCTATGTACCGGGTCTCAAATTGCAGCGAAAAATGCAATCACGCGAAATGATCATTCACCAATTTATCGAATATCTTTGGGGTCCTTGGCAAAGGCCTGCTCTACAGGCTATTGGTGAGCCGGCTAGGAACGATCCAAAATGAGATAGATATTTTGGGCCAAATCGGGTCAGAACCCAATGGCAAGGCATCACGGAAATCGGCACATTCCAAGGCGGTACCGCTATGCCATAGGATGCATTGATAATGCCCCTCTATAGGGGCACTATCCTTGTGAACCACGCCTGTTGTCATCACAAAGCTGTACCAATCCACGTTGAGACCTCGGGAATCACCGAAAATGGGCATTTGCAATGGGGTGCATCTGTCCCAAATGACCGAATATGTGCTTTTTCGGCCAAGGATTAGGAATCTGGAGATCTGGAGGCAAATCCATGGGGAATCAATTGCAAAGGCATAAACGAATGGCTCTTGGTGATGCCAATTCAAAATGAATTATTGCAAAATGGGGAACAAACATATTTATTCGGTGCTCCAGAATGCTCACCAAAGGCGCACTCCATCCCTCCTATATATATTATGGACATATATATTTTCCAATAAGCATTCACGAAATCATTCGGCAAATTCATCGGCATCTTGCTGGGTTTGATTCGAATAAGTAGTAAATCATTCAAGAAATATGCGATCTAAATATTTATTATCCCATGGATCTATAATTGTCCCGGCATAATCGATCAATACAAGGTACAATTCCAAGTCTAGGCCAAATTCATATTATTGACATAATAGGTGGACCCGGTATTAGTACATTTAACCGTCCATCAATCAAATAAACAAATTATACCACCGTAGACCCCAAACAGGTTAGACAACAACGAAACATTCCCAAATCCATGTTTTGAGACATCAACAAGAAGGGAGGCAAGGTGGACACAATGACCAACAAGAAGGAAGACAAGAAGGGAGATAAAAAGAAACAGAAAGAGAGACAAGGCGGACAGAATGACCAACAAGAAGGGAATAGAAGGGAGACAAGACGGACACAATGACCAACAAGAAGTGAGACAAGACTAGAGACAAAGGGAGAAGGGAGACAAGACCGGAGACAAAGAAATAATGAAGAACAAAAGGGAGACAAGACCGGACACAAAGGAGACAGAAGGGAGAAAAGGCGGACACAATGACCAACAAGAAGAGAAACAAGAAGGGAAACAAAAGGAGACGGAAGGGAGACAAGACGGACACAATGACCAACAAAGGGAGACAAGACCGGAGACAAAGGGAGACAGAAGGGAGACAAGGCGGACACAATGACCAGCAAGAAGAAGGGAGACAAAAGGAAACAGAAGGGAGACAAGGCAGATACAATGACCAACAAGAAGGGAAATAAGGAGACAAAAGGGAGACAAGGAAATGCTGCATGGCCAACGGAAAAGGGCCAACAATGATAGAAAGGACGGACACATTATGAAGAAGAATTGAGAACCCCTAACAATAAATTGTTTCAGGAACGAATAAAAATGTTGTATCGCCAACGGAAAAGGGCGGACATCAGCAATGACAAACCTGGGAAACAAATGAATAGAAATATTACATGGCCAACGGAAAGGGGCGGACACCAACAATGACAGATCTAGGAGATAAATGAATAGAAATGTTAGATGGCCAACAGAAAAGGGCGGACGCCCGCAATGACAGACCTGGGAAACAAATGAATAGAAATATTGCGTGGTCAACGGAAAAGGGTGAAGGCCACACATAATATATCTACGAGATAGATGAATAGAAATGCTGCATGGCCAACGGAAAAGGGCGGACATCAATAATGATAGATCTAGGAGACAAATATAAAAAAATGCTACATGGCCAACAGAAAAGGGCGCACACCACCAATAACAAACCTGGGAGACGAATGAATAGAAATGCTACGTGGCCAACGGAAAAGCGCGGAGACCACCAATAACAAATCGAACATTGAAATACTCCAGAAAAGGGCGGACCTACTGCATAACCAACCAAAAAAACGCGGACGCCAACAATAACGACCTAGGAGAGACATAAATAGAAATGCTATATAGTCAGCGAAAAAAACCGGACACCAACGATAACACAAAAGCCGAATACATCTTCAAAAATAAGTTAAATCCCTAACAATAAATTATTCAATAAAATATTTTCAATATATAAAAATATATTTCA